AGAAAAAATAAAAAAAAATGAGCTTAAATATATTGCTGTGATTAAAAAAATATAAAAAAGAAAAAAAAGGGGATCACAAGGGAGGGTGTGGGGGGAAGATCGCGACCCCGGTGGGATGACTCCATCCTCCGCAGCTGCTGGGCCACTGCCTGCTGGTCACCCTCGCCCGGCACTACCCCGGAGACTTCAGCCCCGCCCTGCAGGCCTCGCTGGACAAGTTTCTGAGCCACGTGACTTGGGCGCTGGCCTCCAGCTATCGCTAAACGAGGGGTGCGTCATCGCGGGACCCCCCAGCCTCCTCTTCTTGCGACCTTTCAGTGTTTGAGTAAAGTCCCTGAAGGAAAGCCTCACCCTGCGTGCGCTCATGTGTTCCCTGGGGGTGCGCGCCAGGGTCCTGATGGGATTTGGGGAGGGGCTGCCCTCCTACCAAAGGAAAGGTGGGGATCTGAACAGCCCTGAGCTGCGCGTCCAGCCATGTCCAGGTGTGGGCGCGCCCCTGGGCCGCGTTCGCTGGACGACCTGCGTGGCTGAGAGGGACATTCAGGTCATCTCACCCTCGGCGGCCTGAGACGTTTCGTCCATCGGGTCCCAAATGCCGGACTGTGAAACTCCACCCACCATGCCCTTGGCTGCAGCCACTTGGAGACGCAGGCCAAAGGCTTCAGCCCCTCGGGACTATGTCGGGGGTCATGGGCTTGTCCTAGATGACCAGGCCTGGCCCCTTCCCAGAGCGACTCGCCTCGGGGGACTCCACACAAATCTAGGTGAGCGGGACCTGGTCCCTCACTCACCTAGAACTGAGGGCGCGGTACCAGGAGGCGGGGCACAGCCCCAGAGAAAATTAGGGAACGGCGCCCTCTGCTGGTGCGGATAGGACTCACGCGGAGCCCAACTTGCAGGACAGTACACAGGGGCTCCAAAAGGGTGTCGGGGACTTTGGGGATCTAGGAGGCTTGGGGTGAAGCCCCCGTTTGCCAGACTCTGGACCTGGTGGAAGGAAGTTCGTCCTGCCCCAGCACCCAGTCACTTAGCAAAGTGGGCCAGGGAGCTGGCCCAGAGTCCTGCCTACATCCACACTTCTAAGGAGACAGATCAGAACTGCTTTCTTTAAAAAATTTTTCCTCATTAAACCAACCATGGTCACTGTAGAAACTTAAGAAAATGCAGTAACTACTCCACTTAGTGTACTTTCTTTTTTGAAAAATATATTTTATTGATTTTTTACAGAGAGGACGGGAGAGGGATAGAGAGATAGAAACATCAATCAGCTGCCTCCTGCACACCTCTACTGGGGATGTGCCTGCAACCAAGGTACATGCCCTTGTCCGGAATCGAACCTGGGACCTTTCTGTCTGCAGGCCGACGCTCCTTCCACTGAGCCAAACCGGTTAGGGCGAGATTTTTTTTTTTTTTTTTAAAGAAAATAAAAATCCTTGCCCTGGCTGGGTTTGGCTCAGTGGATGGAGCATCGGCCTCCGGAATGAAGGGTCCCGGGTTCGATTCCAGTCAAGAGCATACTTGTGACACACACACATATAGACAAACCTCACACAAACAGATATAAACACACAATGGCAGAACAGCCCCATCCAAAAATGTAACAAGCCAAGATGTTAATATATAGATCTAGGGACATTTAGAGATTTTTAAAATATATATATATTTTATTGATTTTTTTTTTTTTACAGAGAGGAAGGGAGAGGGATAGAGAGTTAGAAACATCAATGAGAGAGTGAGACATTGATCAGCTGCCTCCTGCACACCCCCCACTGGGGATGTGCCTGCAACCAAGGTACATGCCCTTGACCGGTATCGAACCTGGGACCCTTCAGTCCTCAGGCCGACGCTCTATCCACTGAGCCAAACCAGTTAGGGCCACACTTTTTTTTAGTAAGGGGAATACCATGAAGTTGCTCTAGCCCGGCCCCTGTAGACACGACCCCGAGGCCTGCTGTTAAAACCACTATAGAATCGAGCTCGGGAACTGTTGTAGTTGCTGGTCCGGGCACGGTATCGGGCTCGTGGCAAACCCCCGTCTGTTGTGCTGATCCCTGGTCTGTTGGTTCGTTTTGGGAGTACCTTGATTTGTCTTCCTCTAAATAGGGATTCATCTAAGGCCAGGGAAGTCCTCACTGACCCTTTGTCTGAGAACTCTATATATGCAAACCCTTTGGGATGGCCACTAAATTTGTCACAGAGGATGGTAACACGGTTGACTGAACCACAGCCATGAAAGTGTGCTTCCAGCTCTTCTGCTGTTGCACCATAGTCCACATTGCCAACATAGATGGAACGGGCATCAGCCTCCATCTTCTCTTCGATCGACATGATCACTTGGCCAGCATTGCCTGGAGGTGGACTCATATTCATCTGCTTCTCTACCTCGTTCTGTAGCTCTTTCAGCTTCTCAGCTTCTTCCTCCATCTCCCTGACTCGAGCTTTAATCTCTTCCAGATTCGGGTCTTCAATGGCACCGTCCCCTGGGGCCCCCTGGACTAGTCCCGGCTCCTGCTCCTCCTCCTCCTCCTGGCTGCCTGGGACTCCCGAGCCAGGCTCAGGGCCTGGGGTGCCCAGTGGGGCACGGAGCCAGGGCGGCTCCTCTTCAGGCTCAGGCTCTGACTCGGACTCCAGCAGCAGCTCCTCAGGCTCCAGTTCCTCAGGCTCCAGGCCATTCCTGTAGTCCTCTGCTCCCCCAGGGTCCCCCTTCCCGGCCTCCTCACCAGGCCAGAGCACAAGATGGCGCTGCCCCAGCCCGGACCCCCGACTGCCCCCAGCCCCCACTGCCGCCGCCACCGCTGCCATCTCTGCTCAGACTGTGGCCCGCTGCCCAGCAATGGTTTGGGAACCAGATGTTGGGGTCCAACCCCAGCAGGTCCAGGGGTTCCCAAAGGTGTGGACGGAGTGGGCAAAGAAGGAATGACACGAAGAGCGCATTCAGTTGCTCTGCACACTAGCTCCGCACTCTAGCTGGGGGTCTATAGACGAGTTCTGTGGTAATTGTAGTAGTAGATCTGCATCAATACCACTTCTATTGAAAACGTCT